TTTAAAATTCTGTTTTATAATATCCAGTGTTAACCACGCAATAGAGGAATATGTGAGGAAAGCAGGGAATGTCAACTCTGAGAACCTTTTTGAAGGGCTGGTGAACAATACCTTTCCATTTAAAACAAACTCCCTTTGATCCAGAAATCTGACTACTGAATACTTACCATATGCATATATTCCAATCAGTAGATTAAAATAAGTATACCACGGTGCTCGGTTTTAGCATTGCTTATAATAGCAAACACCTAGAAAACTCAAAGCACCTATCAGCAAACCACAATACATCCATAATGGGATAACATGCTGCTGCTACAAAAGGATGAGACAGATTTCTATGCGCTGATAAGGAAAACTTCCAAGATATATTACGAAGTAAAAGCATGTGTGTTATCTCAAAACACAGAAGTGTTCATTCTTGAACATTCTGGAAGCATATATGAAAAACTTCAAAGTGGTTGTCTCTGAGAAACAGGACTGAGAGTCTGGAGAATGTGACTATTCCATTTATTTTAAACTCTTCTGTACTATTTGTTATTTTTACTATGTGTGTTTATTATTATTTCATTAATAAGAATAATGACTATATGCAGTATATTCTGCATGGTCTGGAAATGTCTACTTGCTCTCTGTAGGAGTGGGGAAGAGAACATCCTTTGTGTGGCCTAGATGCAGGAGCAGAGAGAAATTTTAATTTCTGATCTTCCAGTTTCAGATCTATATTGTCCATCTCTGAAAAGCTACCTTGAAAGAGAATGAGTAGAGTTATTCCACTGCAAACGATACCAAAGAAAAATCAGTGTTTCCTCTAATGCTATTTATTATGTAATTATATTATTACAAAAATGAAATCAAACAAAAATGTTTTCAACTTTAAAGTATAGCACTTTCCATTTTTCCAAATCCCACGAGAACCAGAAAGATTAGACTCCAAAGAGCTTTCTTTTCCAACCTAGAATCTTGTGTTTGCTTAACTCAGAATACTAAACAACTCTTTCAACTAAAGCTGCTTCCCTAAGAGAAATTAGAACATGTTAGTGTTGAAAAGATGAGGTGAAATCTACAAAATATTTCATGTTGAAAATCTTAAAGAGCATGTGAACTTTGTTTAGTATTTATTCCATCAAAGAAATCCTTCCAAGCCCACAGAAAAAGTGGTGGCGGGGGGCGGAGGTGGGGGACAGACATAAGAAAAGTCACGGGATACCATGCCTCTGGGGTTTTCGCCCCTATTAATTAGTATCAAGTGATAGTAACTAGCTTTCCAAATTGTATAAAAGAAATCTCTTTCATAGCACCTCTCCTTTGTCAGAGGGTTGTGATACACAGATAGGCACTTACCTAGGTTATTTTATTTATACCTTTTTGTTTTGGGGGGCGCTTTTCTGAAGACTATATGAAGTAAGGCCAAATGTCTATTTGAAAAAGTCTAATATCTTAGTAGCTGAAAACTCTGCCCACTAAATCTGATTTTATATAAACCTTCTGATAAAAAAATAGTGATTTCACTTTTTATTGGAGAGGTGTACAAGTAATCAATTAAATGAACAAGCTATAGCTTGATGCATTGAGCTGTCTGTGGTACTGAAAAATGACACCAAACTGAAATATATTGAGCTCTGTTCTTCATTACACTATATTAATTCAAGCACTTCCGTCCATGACTCACCTGAACCATCTTAGTTTGCCAGTGTGTATATAAACATTCTACAAAAGGTCACAGTGACTTGCTTTCCAAGGTTCTCCTTGGAAATGTCAAGGTCTCCCCATGATTTGTTAATCAATTCTGATATACAGAGCCAGAATGTTGGCTATAACATTTACTTTTCCTGAATGCAGTGAGAAATCATACCATGTACCAAAACCGACACTAGTTAGCTCTCTCTCCCATCAACATGTTGATATGCTAAAAGGAAAAAAAAATGCCATTTTAGACACATGCTACATCCAAGGACATGCTCTGAATGGCAACATAATCCCTGCATTTAGTTCCTTAACTCAAAGCTAATAAATATATTAGGAATTCTTACTAGTAAACTGAGATTGCCTATTTGCTTAAGAGTTATTAAAGAACTTATAGCAGTGACATCTATAAGTAAAAAATAAGTCTGAGAACTTGGTTTCACTGAGCTTCAGAAGTATTTGGACAGTACCACCAACTCTATCCTCTGAATCTATTAGAATAATCCTGTTTTATTTCTGGTTCTTGACTTCTAGGTCAGAATCTCCACATTCATGTGGTCAATTTCTATTTTTTTTTCTTTTTAAGCATTTCAGGTAATAATATAGAGCTTCAGCCTGAGGAAATCCCTCTAGATCAGAAATTTTCAACTGATGTGCCATAAGAATTTTTGAAACATGCAATACCTGACTTTTTAGTCAGGGGAACTGACCGCTTTTCTTTAGATTGTCAGATAAAAACTATGACAACAGCCAACACAACTATAGCCATCCAGTGTGAATGAATCAAAACTATATCTATTTTTTTGTAAGATTGGCAAATATATATATGCAGAATTTTAGTAATTATTTTATGTGTGCCATGAGATGGAAAAGGTTGAAAATCACTGCTCTAGATAAAATACTGAATGTAAAATCTATATCCAAAACAACTGATATTACACAAGCATGTATTTTAAAATGCTATTAAGTGTGATTATTTGAACAGAAACCATGAGCCATTTAAAATAAACCCAATTTAAAAAATCTAACATTTTGTAGTGTTTTATGACCCCAACAGTAGAGAAGTTTGTTGTGCTTATCTTCATTTTTCTCACTCATGCCATACATAACCAATATATCTATGCATTTTTGTAACAGAACTTGTCCTCAAAATTAGCCAATGAGTAGAATTCTTTCAAGTGAGACATAATCTATAAAAATATGATTTCCGATATTTTATTATTTTCTGTAAGTTTCAGGAGTTCTAACATGGGATCAATTTTTTCTTACAACCTGTAATTAACATTTTGTAGCTCCTCTCACACTCCTATGTTATTTCAAAAATATCTCAATAATTCTTAAAAAGTCACTGTCTTTAGGAAGACACTTGTTTTTTGATGTTAATACCATCAAATGTCCTCCCTCATGAATGCTTGTGTAGCTGTGTGCTTTTCAGAAGGAACAGGTAATAATAGGAAGGCTGATGTTTATTAAAAGTAAAAACAACAACAACAACAACAACAAAAACCAGCTAACGGCAAGGTCTCTTTCTAGTGTGAACTGAGTAAAACCACTCTGATCTCCAAGAAAAAAAAAATTAGTTACTTGATTTTTAAAAATACCTAAAATATTCTATAATTATCTTCTACGTTTAACCCTCTTCATATACCAAACATTTGGATGTAGAGAGAAACCAAGCGAAATGTCCACATTTCAGGGCTGCTGGCAAGCAGTAGCAGAATACAGCAGGAAGAGCAGGAAGCATTCTGGACTCCTCGCTTGGAGGACAGGGCCTGGTCACGCTCTGTACTGTCTAGCTGCGTGATCCAGCAAGCTACTCACCTCTTCTGACTTCAGGTCCTCATCTGAAAATTGAGTCAAAGAATCCTTACACCTATTTTGTTCCTTCCAGCTCTGTCTACTCTTCAAGTCAAAATGAAAAGATACACTCATAGTGTTTAAATTACATTTTAGTATCACTTTAAAAGGTTTGAATCTCACAAGCCTATGACCATTAGCACCTAATTAGAGAGAGATCTATGTAAGTTATTAAATTTTAAAGAGTTCAAATATGTATTTGCCTGTTTTTCCAGTGCAGTTTTACTACTTTCTCTAAATATTCTCTCTTTCTAATTTTCATTCTCTAACCTCATTTCTTCAAAATCGCACTTTTCAAAGTTTTTGCAAATTTGAAAGCAAGATGAAGTAATTTCTCCCTCCTCATTTGGGGTCATGTGCATTTTTATTTTGTTTGGACAACTGTTAAAATTGGTTTCTTCCATATTTAGTATATATATATATATATATATATATTCGCTAATTACTAACTTAAAATTAATTTAATTTCTAATTAATGCTCAGTTCCTTCAATGGCACGTTCTATACAATGTTTTACATTCAAAGGCCACTCCTAAAAGACAGCAGGTCAAATTTGATGGTTTAATAGTTCCACCAAATGTCTCACAACTGCTCCAAAAATATCAGAAAATACATACCAGTGTAAATTCTACACTGGGAAATCCCAAATCACTCCTAATTTTTGAAAACTCGATTTTAATTCACAAATCTTAATATATCCTTGACTGAAGGTTACAGCAAAGAATACCACTCAAAATACAACCCATGAATATTGTATAGAGGATTCTGAAGTTGTCAGCAACAGCCAAATCTAACGATAGAGCTCCTGGCTGCATTTAAAACATTTTCCTAACAAGACTGCTCACAAGAGCAGTAGCCTTTGCTCTTGACTGACATTTTTGAAAAATGATGTAATGATTGTAGCTAAGAATCTATCACATACCATATATACAGAATTTGTATTCAAAACTTACAATTATTTTTTAATGATGGGGGCTATAGAAAGGGTTAGAGATTTCTCATGTCTTATTTATATACATTAGCTAGGAATATCACCAGCCTATTTTCTTCCCTAGGCTACATTATAGGAAATGATCCAAATGGATACAACCTTCCATAATGAGGTACCACTAGGAAGTGGTGGTATCAAACAAGAATACACGTTTACCCTTCAGATTAAGGCTAGTGCCTAACTGACCTTAAGGACAAGAAGTGCAAAAGTGGATCACCTGAAAGAAGACAGGGGAAAATCTGAAGGGCTTGATAAATACATCCCAGAAATGACTGCATGCTTACATGCTGCACTGTTTTGTTTTTAACTTCTTGAAGGAACAGGTCAGGTGGTATGTAAGAATGCAGCATGTTTCTTCTGTAACCTCAAGCAAGGACATGAGGGCTTGGAAAAAAGCTCTGCTGCCTTGAGCTTCTCCGGGCTGGAGGCATGACTCTGGGTCATTCATAAACAGCAGAACCTAAGTTACCTGTATTTCCCTGGCGTGGTACACGATGATCAGACCGAGCAGAATGATCGTGGAGAGACTGATAAGGCATTTCAGAGCTAAGGAATACAGCGACGCCTGCAACACAGTCAGACAGAAGCACTTTTAAGAAAGAAGCACTTTCAACCAACCACCTAGGCCCCTGAGTGGTGAGGGGTTGGGAGGGTCAGTGAGTCCCCCACCAAGTGGGCCTGAACTCCCAGCTGGGTTTGGGGGACCCCTATCTTGGCTCTACGATCTGTCACATCACTTAGCCTCAAAGGCAAGCGAGAGGGGAGGACAGCTGGGAAGGCGGGTGACCAGACAGCCAAGCAGCGGGGTCTCGCCATCGCAGACCCAAGTGCAGCTCCTAGCTCTAGGAACCAACCGGAGAGGAAGTTACTCCTGAGTTGAAGCTCTCCGGGTTGAAAGGGCCTCCTAAATCCCGAGCACCAGAAGAGGAATAAAGCATGCGTTCCCACACACTCCTGGAACCACTTATTTAATCTACCCAAACGCGCTGGGCACTCACTGTCTCCAGAACTTTGCGCACGGAAAGGCTTCCTCTCCGGAGTTGCCTTGCGGACTAAGCGTGCGCTTCTGAGCCGCGTTCACTGTCCCAGAGGGCACTGCCCTCCGATTGTCCCGGGAAAGCTCACAACTGGCAGGCAGGGAGTTCCCGCCAGTGCCAACCCCAACCACCTGGCATCCCGCTCTGCAGCCCCGGAAGGGTGGGCAGGGGTTCGAGCGCGTACCTTGTCGTAGGCGCCCCACGACAGCTCGGTCTCAATGACCATAACCACGATGCCGAACATGCCGAAGATGAGCGCGTAGTCACTGAGACGCTTGCGCTTCTCGAAGAGGGCACGCCGGTGGCCCAGCTTGTAGCCGATGTTCTGGTTCTTCTTCTTGCTAGACTTGGTGCCACTGCTGCTGCCATGCCCGCTGCCGCTGCCGCCGCCGCCTCCAGTGCTGCCTCCGCCGCCGGTTCCATAGAGCGCCAGGTTATTGGAGTTGTTGTGCTCCGGCTTTGACACCACGATCTCGGGGGCTGAGGACGAAGCTGCAGCGGCGACTGCAGACGGAGAGGACGCGCCGCCACCTCCTCCGACGGACGCCGGTGGCTGGAGGGGCTGTGCCTCCGAGTCCATCTCGTGCAGGTTTCGGCGGGACGCGCTCAAGTTGCTCAGCGGACGCATGACGCCCCCGTTGTACCTGCAGCTGCTCATGGCTATTTCGGTGAAGGGGTTGCTCTCGCGGCGTGCCTGGGACTGGTGGTGCTGGTGGTGCGCCAAGTGGGGGTGGTGGTGGTGGTGCGAGAGCG